CTAGTTCAAAATCCAGGTTTCACAACAATCTCTGCCCCCTTCAGATTATAACAACTTTCTCTCTTAACAAAATTTAATTGGTTGTTTAAAGGTAATATACATTTGTGAGCCTTATACATAACCTGTAAAATATTATAATCAACCAACTCATAGGACTTCAATAATTTCAACTGATAAAATAATATATTTGATGGGTGACTGTAGTGTTTTCTTGTAATAATTTTTACAACTCTTTTCTGTAAAACAAAAATAGGGTTTATAATTGTTTTACACGCTTTCCCCCAAACTTCAACACAGTAAATCAAACTGTTATTATACAACTTAAATACAGAGCTCGATCATGTTCAGCGTCAGTGGTAGAGCATTTGAGAGATCTCCATAGCCAGGTCCAGGCACTCGGTGACGGGAAGGCAGATGTCGCAGACGGCGCAGTCGCACATGAAGCGGCGCACGCCCAGACACCCGCACGGGTCGCAGCTGTCAGCCACGCCCGGGAGGGGCTGCAGGGCGGCGGGCTCGCAGCCGCACAGGGACGAGCACAGGGAGCAGGCGCAGGCGTTCCACCCTCTGCACGTCTCCAGCAGACAGTCCAGGGGGCGGCAGAAGAGACAAGCCAGTAGGATGGCGGCGCAGTAATCTCGTGTGGGGAAAGAAGGATGACAAGCAGTGAGTGAGGTGAAGGGTGAGAGGAAGTCTGCACAACAGTTACATGTCCTTACCGCTCCAGTCGGCCTCGGTGTGAGCGGCAGCAGAGCTGAAGCTGTCCTGACTCCTGGCTGATGGGAGTGACTGAATGCAGGTGTTAGTGGAGGATGGCAGCAGGGTGTGCAGAGGTTTGGGCTGGTCCTTCACAGAAAGTGGGCTACAGATGTACACCATAGTGTCTCTCTTACAGCCAATCATGTCGTGTTCTGCAGGTAAAACCTCAGTGGTACATGTTAAAATGAACAAATATTCATAAAACCAGCCTTACTAGCAGAGTTGTAAAGTAACTAAGTACAAATACTTTACTTAAATTTTTGGGTATCTGTACTTTACATGAGTAATTACTTTTCAGCCTACTTTTTACTTCTACTTCTTACATTTTCACACAGTTCTCTGTACTGTACACACAGTTCTCTGTACTGTACACACAGTTCTCTGTACTGTACACACAGTTCTCTGTACTGTACACACAGTTCTCTGTACATTTTAAATGTAAGGAGTATACTTTCCACTCCTTACATTTAAAAAAGGATAAAAAGTAAAAAGTTGTTACTTTTATTTCATTTTTGCTTGTTTTCGTTCCAGCTTGTTATTGTAAAAAAATTATATCCATATAAATTGTCCATCCCAGATAGAGTGAATTTAATTGTGGTTGAATGAGAAATAAATATGTAAAATTCTGATACCGTATTAGTT